TAATATCTTTCAGTTGTGCTATTTTTTTTCCCACGTCGAGTGGGAAATCCACTCCTCTTTCTTTGACCGCCTATATCTTAATATTTTCTCCCCTGCTAATTTGACTGCTTCATTAAATTTGTCGACTACCATTTCTGTTCCTTCTTGTAAAATGCTGAATTTTTTTTTTTTTTTTTTTAAATTTCTGTCTTGAATTGCTGTTTGATATGTGTGTCCTGCAATTTTCCTACATCATATCGCTGCGTTTTTTTGTTCTTCTTAGCTTTCCTTAGTTTTAACCTGATTTTTCTAATAAGTAAATTATGGTCACTTCCTATATTCGCTGATCTTAGTACTCTGACCTCTTGCAGGAAATGCCTCCATTTTCCACTTATAAGAATATGGTCAATTTGGTTTTCCGTATGTCCATCTGGAGATCACCATGTGACCTTATGAATTGTTTTATGGGGGAAGAGTGTTTCTCCAATTATTAGGTCATTTGATTGGCTGAAGTCACACAATCTATTTTCGTTGTTGGTCATTTTCCCTTTCCTCTTTTTCCAATTGTTCTCTTTCTCCTTGTATTGCCTTTCCTACCAGAGCATTAAAGTCTCCCAGGATTAATAATACATCACGCTTTGGGATGTCTTCTACTACTGTTTGCCGACTGTCGTAAAAGCTGTCTTTTGTCTCCTCTTCTGCATCCTCTGTTGGTGCGTAACAGACTAAGACAGATAATTTTGTAAATCTAGAATTTAACTTTGCATTCAAAAGTCGTTCACTCACAAGCTTCCATTCTATAAGAGTTTTGTTGAGCCCTTTTTTAATTATTAATGCAACTCTTTAAGTGTGTTGTTCATCAGTTCTACCTGACCAGATTATGCTGTCGTCTGTATTGAGGTTTTTTTCCCTGTCCCTGTCCCACAGGCACCATTTTTATTCCATGAGATTGACCAATGTCATCCCCACGACCCAGCCTGGGTCACGCCTTATTGGCCAACCCCTCCCTCCCTCTTTAGACACTCAGTGTACGCTGTTTGTGGGCGTCTACTCCGTCCATTTCCTAGTTTTAGTGAACCCGTTTTTTCCCCCCTGTCCGTGCGTTGGTGATAAATACGCCAGTACCTGTTCTTGACATCCTTTTGAAATAAGTTTTTCGCCAGGAACACAGATGAGTATCATTTATTGTGTACATTAGTCCCATGTAGTCACTTCATAGTTAGAGCATATTTGTGTACGTGTACTGTATTGTTCTTTAAGTGCTTATGAAGGCTAATCGCCGCAACGTCGTTTGTTTATTTATTGTGATCGATTTTGTAAAGCTAATATAAACTGTTTGTTGTTTCTTACCAACTTTTTTTCTTCCCTATAATTTTCTACTCCTTTTAAAAACCTCTGTAATTCCTAAAATATTTAGGGCTTTAAATATAGCCGGGCCATAAGTATGGTGGCCAAACGGCTCAACGGGGTTTAACGGATGCTCCTCATCCGCATGGTGGCAATTTGTGTCACCGGGTGTTTATCGCTTGTGTGATGTCCTGGTGGGGTACAAGTCACATACATACTTAAGCCGACTTATTTTAAATTTCAGTTCAGCGAAATAGAAAAACCAGCGATTCTGGGAATATCAGGAGTGCTGTAATGTCAGTTTTTAGATCAATGCTCAACAAAAACAATAAACAGCCTGTGCTAATATTCTCTTCTGTCCATGTTTGTCCTGGCCTAAAACAACATTGCCAGTGCCTGGTGTTAGTGCGTTTGTGTTGTTAGTGAACATTTTGCCCGGCGTCTGGAACAATGGCGGGACTTTGTGGAAAGTTGTTCACATAGGCGCTAGAATCTGGGTTCTCGGATCTTTAAGGCGCCCCCTCCCCACCCCCATTTTTTTCTAAGAGACTTCTAAGAATAAAGGTCAAAGTCGAGAGGATCGACTTCATCGCATTGGGTTTTAACCCAGATAGCTCAGTCTCTCTCCGTAGAACAGCTGGCCGCCTGCCGGGAGCGCCGCGCAGAGCACGGACTCTGTAGCATCGGGGACGAATCACAGGGATCACCGTAAAAATTTCACTGGTAAAGTGAAGGGCGCAGCCGCGGAACGAACCCACGGCCTTCAGAGAGTGAGGCAAACGGCTTGACCACTTCGCCACGGAGAACACCCCCCCCCCCCCATCCCCACCCCCAAGACTCATAAAACCGTGTATAGACATTTTCCTAAAACGTTATTGCTTATATATTACTCCTGGGGCTTAGGCGTTGGGAACTCTCCTTGTAAGGCCAGGATGCCGTGTTCGATCCCAGCTGTAGGCAATTTTGCAGCAGACATAATTTACATTTTTATTTTATGTTTTTCTTCAATCAAAATTTAAATAAAACTTAAAAATGTTATATTTGTTAAAATTTAATTTTTTTTAGCATAGTTGCAAAAGTAGTTTCTATTACAGAAGTTTTCTTTTAGATTTTTAGTTTCACTTTTAATTATATTTGCAATTACATTTGTTACAGCTGAAAATGAATTATTCAGAATTATTTTTTTTTTCACTTCCTCTTTACTTCTTATTCGCGCTCATAAACTGTAAATTCCGGCGGAATGTTCTGGGTGTTCGTCCAACTCCGGACTTTAGTCTTGTTCCAGAATTTGAGTACTGCGTGCACATCCGTTTCATACAACTAGCTTATTTGTATGCAGACTCTTGGTTCCTTGTCTCTCAAGCAGATGAACTCCGACTCTGAAGGATGCCCCAATTAGTCGACTCCTACGACATGCTTGTTGGAGAGGCAGTGGATCTGTTCTTGTTTTCCCTCACAATAGGGTTCGGAACCCACAAAGCTTAATTGCTGTGGATGTTACGTTTGCAGCCGCACGTAATATTTCCAGTAGAGACTGTTATAACCAGATGGTGACCGGTACCATCAGTATTGGAACTCTGTGCTGACTGTTGAAGATGAGGACGGAGCATGCTGTGCTGTGATGTCATTTCTTGACTGGACTCAACTCAAAACACGTATAGTTGTAAACGTAGTTGTGGTTAAGTCAGTATGTGAGTAGATACAATTCAATCCCATTAGGACCGTTCATAGAGCGATTCATCACCCTGTGATTCAAAGTGCAATGCGTCATTACTCGGATGAGAATCCTATAGATAAAGTCCCAGACACCCCGTTCAACTATAATGTTATTGTTAGTGCAGCTGTAGCAGTTGTTGTTTCTAGTCCTAATAAAATTGTGTATTTGATGTCTAACATTGAATAGCAGACTGAATTAAAGATATATAAACACACACAAAGAACACACACAAATATACCCAGTGATTTAATTCTGGTAATACGCAGTACCATCATTTTTTTAAACATGATTTTATTTGGCATTAATGCAATATCATAATAATGTTTTCCCGTTGTAAATTTGAATAAAGAAGACACAAACAATAGACTGCATAATTTGTTGCCTGACATATTTCGCTGTATCTCGTCAGGTGCATACTACAGTAACAATTACATAAATGAAGTAAATGAGTGGATTATTTTTAAAGTACAAATTCAACAAACAAACGCAACTGCCTGTTTTACCAGGGCAGCCGCTATGTCAGAATCATGTCTTTTTGTTTACACAATTCAGGGAGCAGCGATTCTTTGCCTCCGCTATCTATTGTTTGTGTCTTCCTTATTCAAAATACACGACAAGGCAGATGTGGTCAAGGCCCTGTGGGAACAAGCAACGGAATCAGCAGAGAAACAAGATTATTATGGCCTGGTGAGAATGAGGCACCTGGATGTAACCAGAGGGTCTGGCCGGCTCACTACACTCAGAAAGGAAAGGAAATACGGACATACAACCAGACGGTAACCGGTACTATAAGTACTAGAACTCTGCGCTGGATGCTGAAGATGAGGACAGAGCATGCATGGTAATGCCCCAAGTGTTGTGATGTCAGTTTCTTGACTCAACTAAACTTAACTCATGTCCTCATTCAAAATTACTGTTATAGATGATTAGCGGAATAAGTGCTGGTACCTTTTAAATATCGCATTTACGTGTGTATAGACCATAGTATTTTAACCCAAAACTGTTGATGAAAAAAAAGGTGTGGCTTATATTCGAGATATTAGGCCTACATGTCACTTATACACAAGTTATTAATAAACAATAACCATTTTGAAACCTGCCTTTTGAAAACAATACCAGTAAATGACGCCATTGTTGTTCGTCTCGAAACACGAGATCATTTCGTGCCATAAAGCGCCTGTACTCTTTTTTTCTTCCGCGTATTTAACCTTCTTGCCACACCAAAAAAAGTCGACTTTTGAAGATTTTTTCAAAAGCATCTTTCATTCCAATTCACGTACACATATTTTTTTTTAGCATCCAATTCAAACTTTCTCCCAGCTGCTCTGTTTCCATTTTCTTGCTGAGAACGCACTACTTGCAACTTATATTTACAACTGTAACTTGCTTGCGTTTACACGGTCAGTCTTTCACCGTTTACAGGTACTACTGTTCTCAACACTTCTAAGATAATGAATGATTTTTCCCTAACATTATCGTCGTAATTGATGACACAGTTATAGTAATTTCAGTGGAAGCTATAGTGTAAAAGAAAACAGAGACTTAAGAACACAAGCAGAATATACATGGAGACAAATATGACTATAATATATGAATAGCAGCAAATGAGGTGCAGACGATTATAAGAGGTAACATTATCGTCGTTAATTGATGGTTCAAGTGCTATAGTGCAAAGAAAACAAGATCCATGGAGTGAGGATTTATACTGCAGTGTGGAGCAGGGTGCCAATACCTGTGAGCTCTGGTCCTCCTAGGCCCCCCCCCCCGAAAATGTTTAGTAGGGAGAACTGAGCACCCCCCCCCCCCACCACCCCACCATTATTTATTTGTGTCGACGCCCTCGGTGTGGGGTTTATGTTATAAAAAGAATACCAGCTTTGCAAGATCTCATATAAGCCTTTACTACCCAGACTCAGTCATCAAACATCGTGCAGAAAATTATCTTTCGATGATATTATTAGAAGAGCGACGGTGACTTTATCATTCTGGCAAAGTGATCCCAAAACTGAGGATTATTCCTATTGTAGACGACTGGTCTAGTCTTCTCAATACATTCTCTCAAATGTGGGGGAAAACAGTCGGGCGGACAATCCTCGAGCAACAAAAAATATAAAACTTTGGACATGCGCATCTCCTCTGACAGCATGGCCATGTTGACCTCAAGTTCATGGTCCTCTATCACAAAGAGGTCCCTGGTGAGCAGCACTAGTGTCTTCTTAGCTGTGGATAGATGAACAGAAGTGATGCTGTCAGTCTATGTTAATGTATGCTCTAGGGAAGAGTCGTCCTCTGTATCCTCTGTGGGCTGCTACTCGATGGTTTTACCACTCTGAGATTACACTTGTATATTTTAGCACGCCAGCGCTTTTAACACTCCAAAAACATGGACAAACTGGGTCTAACATAATAAACCTCGAGAGTGCTGCAACCAATGTCACTGGCATTCTCTTTCTCGGAATGCAAATGCAAATTAAAGACAACGCAGAAAGCAAACAACAGAGCGGGAACACACCCGTAACCTTTAGGAAAGTCAACCAGGCCCAACAAACTTGTGAATGAAAAGTGACCTACTCTTTTTAGGGAGATTAACATTACATTAACCTCAACCTGAAAAGAAGTTATGATTGAGGTAGCCATGAAAGCAACAGCAACCTGGTGTAACCTGCAGTTCTGCATGGGTAATTATTCTTTTCTGTGGAATCGGTGAACCATAAATAAATATGATGACGTAAACCATAAGGGTGTTAGCGATACGAATTACTTGCAAGGTAGGTCAAAGTCACTATAAATATAGTGCTAACATTATATTTTTCAACCGAATTCCAAAAGGTCTGTGATAGCAAAATTTAAAACACACACAAACACACACAACTCTAAATCTTCTTGTTCTTCTTGTTCTTGTTCTTCTTGTTCTTGTTCTTGTTCTTCTTGTTCTTTCTTCTGTCTTCTTCTTCTTCTTCTTCTTCTTCTTCTTCTTCTTCTTCTTCTCTTCTTCTTCTTCTTCTTCTTTCTTCTTCTTCTTCTTCTTCTCTTCTTCTTTCTTCTTCATTTTCTTTTTTTTCTTCTTCTTCCTCCCTCCTTCTCTTTTCTTCTCTCTTCTTCTTCTTCTTCTTCTTCTCTTCTTCTTCTCTTCTTCTTCTTCTTCTTCTTCTTCTTCTTCTTCTCTTCTTCTTCTTCTTCTTCTTCTTTCTTCTTCTTCTTCTTCTTCTTCTTCTTCTTCTTCTTCTTCTTCTTTCTTCTTACTTCTTCTTCTTCTTCTTCTTCTTCTTCTTCTTCTTCCTTTCTTCTTCTTCTTCTTCTTCTTCTTCTTCTTCTTCTTCTTCTTCTTCTTCTTCTTCTTCTTCTTCTTCTTTTCTTCTTTCTTCTTCTTCTTCTTCTTCTTCTTCTTCTTCTTCTTCTTCTTCTTCTTCTTCTTCTTCTTCTTCTTCTTCTTCTTCTTCTTCTTCTTCCGAATGCCTGTGTGTGTGTCTGTATGTTTATATCTGTGTGTATGTCTGTGTGTATGTGTCTTTGTGTGTGTCTGCGTCTGTGTGTTTGTGACTGTGCGTGTGCGTCGGTGTGTGTGTATGTGTCTACGTGTGTGTATGTTTGTGGCTCTCTGTGTGCGTCTGTGTGTATGTGTGTGTGTTTGACTATGTGTGACTGTGTGTGACTGTGTGTGACTGTGTGTGTGTGTCTGCATGTGTTTTTATTTTAAATTTTTTATCACTCAGTTTCTCACCAATTACCATAGTTTATTGTTTATGCCCAGGTCAGAAATGATTGCGCACATCACAGTAGTAGATATTTCCAGGTCTTTTTGTTTTCCTCTTTCTGTTCTTCTTCATCTTCTTCTTTTTCTTCTTCTTTTTCTTCTTCTTTATCTTCTCTTCTTCGTCTTCTTTTTCTTCTTCTTCTTCTTCTTCTTCTTCTTCTTCTTCTTCTTCTTCTTCTTCTTCTTCTTCTTCTTCTTTTTCTTCTTCTTCTTCTTCTTCTTCTTCTTCTTCTTCTTCTTCTTCGTCTCTTCGTCTTCTTCTCTTCTTCTTCTTCTTCTTCTTCTTCTTCTTCTTCTTCTTCTTCTTCTTCTTCTTCTTCTTCTTCTTCTTCTTCTTCTTCTTCTTCTTCTTCTTCTTCTTCTTCTTCTTCTTCTTCTCTTCCACCTTTTACCTCACTGAAGTGTCGGCGCTGGATGTAACGCTCGTTTATGAGCTCTGTCAAGAGCACTATTGAGATTGATGTTAATGTTATTTTCTGTAAAGCGGTATTTTGTGTGTGTGTGCCATCACTCTATGTTTTCTGAGGTCTTCGGCTCGCTCTACACCCTTGTAAAGTTTCAGTGTGGCTCGCTTTGGGAGATGGTACTAGGGCATTCTTGTTTAGAGTCCAAAGTACTTCATTTGTTGTTCTTTGATGACCTGTAAGACTGGCTTTATTACTAGTATTCGTCTGATTTCGTGATTTCGTATTCTGTCTTTCCTAGAAACTTCTGCATCTCTTCTAATGCATTTCACCTCTGTTGTCACAATTCTACGTTCTATTGTAATAACAAATAGTTAGTTGTCACGGTGTAGATGATAGACGCTCGCCTGCTGATCAAAAGATAGTTGTTATTCTGTGTTGATGCAGATGCTCTTTAATGTCCTCAGTCAATGTCTTTTTCTAAGGTGACCTCCTTATTTCACGTCAGATCTTCTCATGTGTGGCCTTTGTTGGTAGTTGTTCTGGCTGCATTCTTACTAGATGGCCAAAACCATTTGACCTCCTGCTTCTCAATGAATTTGCTGTATGCTGTTGTTCCTACAGTCTGTCTGATAATATTAGAGTTCATAATGTTGCCAACAATTACCTGATTGCTAACAATAAATTTGACCCGAAGTAACCGACTCCTCAATGCTCTCAAGTACGTTACATAACACGAGCGTATTACTGACAACACATTTTACATTTAAAAACTTGTCTCCCTAATATCAGTTCAAATTTTAAATAACATTTACAGTTTACTGACAATCAATTTTTTAGAAATAACCGACTACCCAATATACATTTATGTTTTTAATTACCAGAACTGATTACTGACAACAGTACCTGCAAGAACGGTGTTTTCAATGTTTATTGGTACACAGCACAAACATATACCCACTAGAGATTTTACTTTGTTTTAAAAATGTCTACTGAATAGCCATTCACATGTTAATTTACATGTACATTTCACTGACAAACACTGACTACTCAATATGCATTTATGTTTTCAATAACCTGTACTAAATACTGACAACAGATCGTACCTGCGAGAACGGATTCCTCAATAACCATCTTCAAAGGCTTGCCGGCCATGGGTTCGATCTCGCTGATGAAACACGACACGCCCCTGTCTTCCAATGAAGGACGTACAACATTAAAAACAAAACGTCTCCATTGCGGTTCGTCATCATCGTAAACTAGAAATACATCTTTCACGGAATGTAGCTCTGGGTGTATAAAATTCTGGAAGTAACGTCGCTTGCTAATGTAGATGTAGAATAATAGCTTTACTCTGTAGATGCAGTAGATGCCGAAACCTGACCAGAGAATCAACATCAAGAATAACCCTGAGAGCGCCAGCACGAGAAAAGTTGTACCATTGCATCTTTTCCACAGCGGGGTGTAAAATTCAGCAATATCTTCCAATTTGACATGTGTCCCATTTATAAACTGACACTTGTATAAACTGCGTCTGCGAAAAATCACTTTTCTAAGCTGAAACCAGTTTAAAAAAGCAATAGTTGTGCAATCACATCGGAGGGGATTATTTAAAATGTCTATTTTCAAAGTCGGGCTCACAGACAAAATGTTTTCAATATTCTCCATTGTTGCGTGCGAGACCGTGGATATGGCATTTCCGGATAGGTCCAACAGTGTAAGATTGATCAAATGGCCTATGTTAGTGTTGAATTCATTAATGGCATTGTTGTTTAGCAGAATAGTTTGAAGATTACCCGTGTTGGAAAATGCATCTTGGTGTAAAACTCGAATATCATTGTGCGATATGTCAATATACTTGAGACTTGCCATGTTAGAAAAAGTAGTACCGTTCTCATCAGTCTCCAACGAAGGACCGAGGGTGTTGAAAGTGAGTAGCAGTGTTTCCAGCTTAGGCATGTCTGAGAAAAACAGCGGATTGAGAGCGATGCAGTAGTTATTAGATAAGTCCAAATACTTTAAATTCCTAAGCCCATACATTGGACCGTCGAAACAGTAAAGGAAGTTATCTGCTAATTCCAAATGTTCTAAAACGTTGTTTAGAAATGAAAGCTTGGGTATCGCAAGGCCAAGTTTAGCTTCATTCAGGTATATTTTCTTCAAGCTTCTCGGAATTGGAATTGGATTTGAAAATGGTTTAGAGACGGAAATATTTTGCCGTGTGACAAGTCTGCGCATGCGCTGGAGTCCATTAGGTCTTGAAATCACGTATACTACGTCTTTGTCTGACCATGTAATATTCCTTGCCTTTATAGATGGACATACAGATGTCTGTAACTGGCGCAAAGTATCATGTGATATCAAATCGTAACTAATATCTGGATCTTTTCTTCGATTAATCAGTGACGACCGGTAAGCGGAAGTCTCATTAGAGGTTATTGTCGAATTGTCATCCGGCTTCTCTTTTTGAGCAGCGGAAGAGAGATTTATTCCATCCGAAAGTTCATACAAGTTTGAACCGGATTCTGTATACTCAAATGTATCTATTTTCTTCGCTAACCCATACTCTGTGAATTTATTCTGAATACTGAGATCAATAATTTGTAAATTTTCCAGCCAGTATATGGTGAAAATTTCCCGTATCCAGATTATTTTGTTGTTTGCCAGGGAAAACATTTTTAAAGATCTGGGCAAAATAACGGCTAACTTGAGTTCAATATCCATAATGCCATTGTTGTCTACAATAAGCGTTTCCAACGACGTATACTGCAAGTGCTGAAACCACTGAGCCAGGAGTTTAACATATCTCCGTCTCCAGAGGTTAATCCTAGTTAAATCCAGTGTTTTAATGCGAGTTTTGTTAAGGCTGAGAGAGCCTTCCATGAATTTGTCAAATCCTAGAATATGGTTGTTGCGCAAACTAAGGCTGGTTAGAGTAGGAAGATAGGAAAACGCGTCAGGGTGAATAGATGACAGCTTGCACGATTGCAATGATACGTGGATAGGCTTTTTTGTGGCAATATTGGAAAAGAAATATTCAGGTAATGATCCTAAAGTGCACAGTCCTCTAAAACTGCCTATGTCAAGAAAACTTAGCTGAGTCAGTTTTTTAAAGCCTGTACCAGGAATGGCATCTCCTGGTAAACCATCAATGTGTAGAGTCTGCAAGGAAGTCAGATGCTGTAGAGCTTTATCCGGATAACTCCAGCTAGACGGGTACGCAAATGTCAGATTATGTGCCCAACCTCTCCCTTGTGGAATTTTATTTCCAAGAAGGCTCAGATCCCTAAGGTTTCCCAGTGGAGAGAATACTTCTTCTGGGTAACTTTCTGCAGAAAGTGGGATACGATTGTCGCTCAAATCTAAGTAGACAAGACTGCGTAGACCACTAAAGGGCATTGGATTAAGAGTAGTTATAGCATTGTGTGAAATATTTAGTGTCTGTAAGAGTGTCAGACACCTAAACGTGTTGTTTGCAATATCTGTTAACAGATTATTACTTATATCGAGTGTCTGAAGCCACCACTGACCTAGGTATCTAATGGATGAAAGTGTCTTCTTTAAAACCACGTCTTTCTCTTTTCTGTCACCAGTTGGCAGCTGCAAGCTTCCTTTGCCAACATCAGTGTTACCGCAATCAAAGTCCAGATCATATGTTTGCCCGATTATGTTCCAAGACCGGTCTTCTAGAGTCGTGATGTTGTTGAACGAGACGTTCAGATGAATGAGATTCTTCACTTTAGACAAATCTTTGAATGTCAGGGAAGTGAGACGGTTGTGAGACAGATCCAGAAGCTTTAGAGTGTAAGGAAGGTCGGGGGGTATAGTGGTCCACCCTAGGCGAGAGCAATTGGCTTGAATAAAAACATTCTCCAACAGGAGGCATGTGCAGTTTTGACTACATCTGACCTCGCCTTCAGCACGTATTGTGCTTACAGCTGACAACACGAGGATACACAAAGTCTGAAGTAAGATCATGATCATCGTCTGAAAAAGAAACCACACATGTAAGAAGAGTTACTAAGGGCTTGAACAGATAATTACACACACACACACACACACATACACACACACACACACACACTCACTCACACACACACACACACACACACACACACACGCACACACCTAGCCACCCGCCCATACACACAGACATACTCAGACACACACACAGAGAAACACACAGAGAAACACACACACACACACTAACAAAACACAAAGTTTGTTGCATGTCCTTTACATGACGCTGTAGAGCCAACCCCAGCATAAGAAAGGTTTAATAGAAACCTACAAAGAATGTAGATGCAGGCATTATGAAAACATACCAAAAGTGTAGATGTACACAAGAAAGGCACCATTTTAAACACAAAAAGAATGTAGACGTGCTAAAAAAAAAGGATCCTTTTAAACATACAAAGAATGTAGACGTGCTCAAGAAAGGCATCATGGAAACATACAAAGAATGTAGATGTACACAAGAAAACTATCATGTAAATCTACACATAATTAAGATGCATACAAATAAGTATCATAGAAAAACTAACAGAACTGAAATGAAACACAAGTGGTCTCCAACCTTTTTCTATTGGCACCCCCTTGACTCTATCAAACCCCCCCCCCCCCTTTTTTTTTCTTCTTCCGCCGCCCTCTACATGTTATTCTTCTCAACATAACAAAATGTTATTAAAAAGATGATTAGAAAATGAAACATCCCAAGTACTGTTGACAAGAACTTGGAGACAAACACGCACATAATTCAAAGTGTCAAATAACAAAAGAAACAATCATCAACAACTTGTAATTTAGTGGCCCTTATATCAGTTTCTACTTCTTCTTCTTCTTCTGCGTTCGACAAAAAACATTGAGTCCCGTCTGGGTCACAAATAGGTAATTGCGTTTAAGGTTGCCACCGGTCCCCCATAGCTTCTCTCGCTATGTGGATCCCCTGGGCCAGATCCACAGTCTTTGCTGGGAGGGGTAAGGGCAGTACTGCAGTATGTGCTCAGGGGTCTGTCTTTCTGCTCCACAATCACAGGCAGCAGATTCTTTTATGCCTATCCTGTACAGGTGTGTTCGAAGACCACAGTGTCCAGTCCGAAGTCTAAATATTGATGTTTGTTCTTTCCTGTCGAGTTTGTTTATGCTGTCACTCTCTGGTCTGTAATCTCTATTCTGCTTTCTCCACTCCCACTTGAAAGACTTTAACGCTGTTTTGGTTTCCTTGTAGCTGTGTGGTGAAGATTACTCCCAGCTTTTGCCAACTCATCTGCTCTCTCATTTCCTTGAATACCACAGTGGGCTAGTATCCACTGCAAGACCAATTCTGCTTCCTTGGAGAGTAAGCCAATGTTGGTCCATATATCAGTGTGATGATGGTTGACTCAGTTTTGTCTTTATATCTGCTGCTTTTGGTCCGGTGTTGGACTAGGCACAACGAAGAAAACTCTCCACATTAGGCTGGCTTCGCTGCTTATTTCCCTAACTGAGTTAAGTTGAGTCAAAGATTAACATCACACCATTTGGGGCATTCCCATGTGTGCTCCGTCCTCATCTTCAGCAGCCAGCGCAAAGTTCCAATACTGATGGTACCGGTTACAAACTGGTTATATTGCTTTTCCTCTGAGTCTAGTGAGCTGGCCAGACCGTCTGGTTACACGCAGGTGCCTCATTCTCTCCAGGCCAAAATAATCTTCGTTCTCTACTGATTCCGTTGCTTGTTCACAAAGGGCCTTGACCACATCTGCCTTGTCATGTATCAATTCACCACCCAGTGGTGCAGATCCAGCCAGTCTGTCTGTCTGTACATTACCCTCTGGTACTCTTACCCACTCCTCTCCTCGCCCAATGTTCTCTGGCATGCATACTTGTCTTATCGTGTCTTCTGCTTGAGCCATTCAAGATTTTCCTCTTTTCAGCCTCTGACCCTTACCTGCAGCCAAAGCTTTATACAGAGGGTGTTTTTTGTCTGCAGCTACTCTGAGGTATGACCTAGCCTGCAGCACCTTTAGCCTGTCTGCCATAGTTAGCAATGCAAGGATGTATAGCAGGCACACAATCGGGGTGTTTCTTGTACATCCCAGGATCAGCCGCATAGCTTCATTCTGTAAACGCTCCAGTTTCTCTAGCTGACTCTTCGATACAGTGAGTTATTCCCATCCACAATCAATCACTGAGACGATTAAGTGCCATCTCCATCGCTGCCATAATCTTTTGTGTTAAGACTTATGAGCCTTTGTCACAACTCCCAATGGCTTATTGATCCCAATCTCATCAATAAAATTGTCCCCATTTGCTTTTTTGGCCTCTGCCGCACAGCGCTTGAAAAACTCTTATTTTTCATATCTTTTTCCGCACACTACAACTCTTCCTGTGAGCTTGGAGCTGTCTGTCGCACTTTCTTTAAACGCTTTACTGCAGCTCTCTTTAACCTCCATGCCTGTTCCACCTCTGATGTCCACCATGGGGGCTGCACAAAAGTAGATCTGCTGGTGCTCTTACATACCCTCTGTCAGAGCGTCCAAGAAGGGTTTTAGTCAGCTTGACTTTCCTGGAATAGGAGATCAATACCTAACATGGCAGATGGTCACGTCCATGATCGCCCAGGACAGTCCATTTGGTGTCTAGTACTGCTGACTGGGTAACCAAAGCCAGGTCAATAGCCGTGTCTGCATCGCCTGGCCTCATGACCATTCTAGTTGGCTTCCCATCATTTACACAGACAAGGTCTGAATCGACCATTGATTCAACAAGAGCGACTCCCTGTCGGTTTTTCCTAGTACTGCCCCATTCATTGTTCTGTGTATTGAAATCCCCATAAATGAGGAGACAGTTGCCAGGGATCAGCTCCAGGTCTTACAGCCAGTCCCACGTCTGCTTTGTAACTAAAGAGCCCACGGCAGCATATAAATTTATTATGTTTCAACGTAGGCCGCCAATCTCCATCTGTATTTCTTACACCTCTCTAGCACCACGATTCCAAAGACTCAGGTCAAGTACCACACGTTTCAATCTCTCCTTCACTAGCAGACAATGCCCATGATGTCCAGCAGGGTTTACGTAACTGACATATCAAGGGCAATGATATTTGTTTGCATTCAGCTCCTGAAGCATGATGCCATCAAAGTCGTCAATCAACCTCTCTCTTCTCTGTCTGACACTGCGACAATTCCAAAAACACACTCTTACAAGATTGAACCCCAGCCCTTCTGTTTTTCGCCTAAATCTCCGGCTCCTGCCGTTCTATTTCTCTGCTTTCCTTTCTCCCTATTTCCACGTCTTCTCCTCTTCACTCTGTCTTCGCTGCTCGCTGAAAAATAATTCTTATCTAATAAACATGAAAAATCCAAATGTTGAAGAGCAGGGAGTAACCGGTCACCCTAGTAGGGCCTGCCTGCTAGGGAAGAGGCAATGGATGTCCTTATGGAGTCCATACGCCTGACGCCGTTCCTCCCGCTGACAAGGCGTCTTCGTTCACGATTGCCTCTCCCACAGCCTTCCAGTCTATAAGGACGTAGATCCACTTTAGGCTTGGGTTTTATTTTTATCCAGGTTGTTTCCTCTAGATCATTGTGTTTTGTCCTGCGAAGTCTTGGTTAACGGGGTCACCTCGTGTAGGATGTGACTGTTCGGTCACACCAGGGCTGCTAATGCTGGGTTTTTCCCCCCATTCGGTTTTTTTTAGAGGCCTAAGGGAAATCTTGGTGTTTTTTTTTTAAATATATCCTTATATAAAAGTGGTAATTGTTTCGTTTCGTAACTATACATTTTGTACATTTTAATAATCTGGGGTTTTTTTTTTTTTGTTCTTTGTCTATGTATTGCTTGGGTTTTTGTTTAGCGAAGCTGGGTTTAAAAAAAAAAAATTCCATTGGCAGCCCTGGGTCACACACAACGGTCTTGACTAGAAAGGTTTATCAGGCCAGAGGACTTTCCGCCTCAGTGCTCCTTTTTCACGCGTTAGGCTAGACCCAGAGACTCACAAGGGGAAACAGTTGGTGTGCTCCACTGTCCGAGAGTGTTAGCCACTACAGCCCTGAGTTTCCATAACAGAGCTGAAAATGCTGATTATTACAAGTACAAATTTACTCAATTTAAAAATTGCGTGACGTCTGCTTGAAAAGTCTCTACCCCCCCCCCCCCCCCTCCCCCCCCCCCCCCCCCCAAGTTGGAGATCGCTGATGTATACAAAAATGACACTTGGAAACATGGAAAGAATGTAGATTCACACAATAAAACTAACAACACCTACGAACAATGTGGATATACATAAGAAAAGTATTTTTTTTTACCCATTACCCCGAGCAAAAACTACACAACTTTTTTTTTTCAAGCCCGTACTCTAAGTAAGATGATTTTACCTTGTGAAGATGGAGCGTGGGTCTGCGTATCGTCTACATAAAACAATATACCAGGCCTAGTACATTTTTCCAAACATTCTAAAGGTTTCCTATTGAAATGAGCCTGGCGAAGATAGAAACAACTCAAATCTAAGTCAATTGCAGTGACACTTTATGTGCAGCCATTATTATGGCATGTAACATTTTATGATATCCGTTTATCTGTTTTGTGTGCGCAGCCATGCATTAACTCTTGTTGTAACACTTTTACAAGGGCTGTTCTATAACGTCACATTTTCTTGTGCATTTATGGTTTTCTTCTTCTGCCTTTCTAGCCCCCAATGGAGCATAGGCCTTTAACCAACTCATACCAAGTCGTTCTATCCTTTGAATATTTTTATTTTATTTACCTGATCGCTCATGTCGAGTCAACCCACAACTGGTACAAGGGATTGTCCTAGGAGGTGAAAGGCACAATACTTTTAATTGGTTTTACTTACAGGTGAACTGGTGTATGTAAGTTATTTACGATGAATAAAATATTGAACGAAATGTTGCAGTGTGTAACATCAAAGCTAATCAATTTTCTGTCAAAAACTCAAGCAGTTCTTTCTTTCTTTCTTTCTTTCTTTCTTTCTTTCTTTCTTT